TAATTAATCAAAACGGCTGTGCGCCCCGACTGTCCGGGCGCAAAAACAATCGAATTTTTCTTACATTTCAGGTAAAATTTTGATTTTATTTACTTAGTTTCTTTACTTTCGTTATCTGTTTCCTTGTTCTATCGCCTTTTCATTGAAAATGTGACTTAAAACATTACAGACTGAGTTTGGCGCCCGATTTGTTTAGCAAAACAGCCCAAATAAAAAATGCAAAGCTTGAGCCACGATAGATCGTCCTGCTCTCTTGCGCGTTACCGTTTTCATGGCTGCAGCAGTTGAAATTGAATTGCAACTGAGGACTCGTACAATAAAGTTAGCACTTTCCCGATGCTTGTCCAGATTTTCGCTCTCTGCATGGAAAGCGAATCTATATCACCTAACGTTTGGGTCTTTCGTATGTTCTTACCGTCCTTACATCAGCCAACAATAGAAGCTGCAGCGCATTTGACGATACATGTACCACAAGACACAGCCAACTGTATGCCACGCTTCGCGTTAACATTGGTACAAAACTGCCGGAGGAAAACGCCACTTGCTGCCGCTTGTTCTGGCCTGCTGACCACTGTCTCTAATTCTGAAACTTTGATACTCGTAGTATACTGATTTTGTAATCTTCTAGATTAAGTCGTTGACCAAGTAAAAATCTCAAACGAAAAGAAAATAGTTGTCCGAAAACAGACGATGTTTCTGCGCCCGGAAATTCGGGGCGCAAAGCCAAATAATAAGCGCCCGAACACCGGGGCGCATAGCCAAAATCTATGCGCCCGTTTGTCACGGCGCATTGCAATTACCTTAATTAATAGCAAAAATGTTGCCCGTAGAAAGCAGGGTGCGAGAAATGGTGGGCCTTTATTGGTGGCTATAAAAAACGGGGGTGAAAATGGGTGGCTATTGTGATTTCCTAAATCGTATCGTATCGACGCTATCGGACTAGGTATAGTAGTTGTATTAAACGTAAACCGAATTTCCGTTTATTTGATGTATCGATTTCCGTTTATTTGGCATTTTAATGTATTTGATGTATCGCAACAAGAAAAACGGCAGATACAGCACATTAAATTCTTTTCGATAGCTCACGCCCGATTTTGCGCGGCGTTAGTGAAGGATTCGATACTACTCTAGCAGTTACAAAATCGTTTGTACAGGATTCACATAAGTGCTCTGTACATATAGACACATATTTTCGTCTCAGTAATATAAACTGTAATTCATTGCCAATCGATACTGTTATAAATGCATAATTTTGCATTATTAAGAAAATTCTAGACTGCAACTCGAGAAGAGACTCGATTCAACCTGTGAAACTGTGGAAGTATCTCGATCCATGTTGTAATCAGTTAAGACTACGGGAAACGCGGATTAACGCCTTGCGGATTAGCGCTGATTAACGGATTCCTGGCACACCGGGAAGTTACGTTGCAGCCTTGCAAAATGACCAGGGTACCACGATCGCCTAAATAATTTTGTGCAATACAGAAATACTGGCTCATGCCGGTCCGAAATGGTGGAAGCTGTGTTATGTCTGGTTTCGCAGTTCTGAGTCTTCCAACCTCTTGCCATACACACGCTGTAAATAACCGTAAAACGGTGGCATTCACCGACAGCCAGAAGTCGATGATACCGACATACGATGCCATGATGCCGATATACGATGCGGCATATCGGCATCTCCGTCAACGACTGTCGCTGGAAATTCAGCGAGGAAACGCTGCTTCCGTGCGCCCATGCTCGGGACAATGAAAGGAGCGGCCGCATTAAATCAAATTTTGTTATTTCGATAAAATATTTTAAGCTGTGTTGCCACCACGTTTGTGAAGGAAAAATCAAATGCGGTATTCCTGCTGGTTCTTGCTCGGAAGTGTCCTTTAGTGTGTTAGTGGATAAAACGTATGCCGCCTTTAAATCTGGCACAGTATCTGCCTGTACATGCCGGCTGATGGATACTCGTATTACAATAATATGTAACGATATTCCTGTCATGTACGCTGGCCTGCGCTGAAAGTCTGAATCTGAATCTGATTCTGAATGCTAAAAGTCTGAGTCTGAATGCTTAAAGTCTGATTCTGATTACTGGAACTCTGAATCTGAATACCAAAACTCTGAATCCGAATATTAAAACTCTGAATCTGAATAATAAAACTCTGAGTCTGGCCGGTGATGACCGATAACAGCTATATAAAAATATTATTAGACGGTGTGATTTCCGAACTACTCTGTACTTGTAAACCGCAATACGGCGCCCGGTGGGACTATAAGCTGCCAAGTACCAACAATTAGTTATCGGTTGCTCAAAACACCTTTCCGAACGACTTTATTTAAGGTTACGTAATACGTTGTGTTTCAGTAGTTTTTTCTACCCGTTGAAATGTTTTATATAGATAATCAAAAGTTTGCTTGCGGAAAAAAGTTGAGGTTGTTCCTGACAACCTGTTACTTTTCTGTGTTCAATATCTGCGCTTTCTCACCAGCAGTCCTACCGGACATGCTAAACCGGTTTAGGCGTAAAACCGTATTCGGATTCCATTTTTTCCAGTTATTTCAACTGGCATAATTAACTACCCTACATCTTGGAAGACGCCACCTGGGAGTCGATGAGAGATTATTTAAAACGCATGTTAACTATGACCGGTAAAATACCGAAGAAGCCTTTTAACTTAGTTGTTCTTTTTTATTCTGCGAAGCACGCTTCCGGTCTCGGAGAGGGTGTACGTACACAAGAGTGTACGTATCAGGAAGGTTTTACTGTAATGTTTTACAGTACTGTATGTACGGTTTACAAGTACTGTACGGTTTACAAGTAGTTCGGAAATCACATCGTCTAATAATATTTTTGGATAGCTGTTATCGGTCATCACCGGCCAGACTCAGAGTTTTATTATTCAGATTCAGAGTTTTAGTATTCGGATTCAGAGTTTTGGTATTCAGATTCAGAGTTCCAGTAATTAGAATCAGACTTTAAGCATTCAGACTCAGACTTTTAGCATTCAGAATCAGACTTTTAGCATTCAGAATCAGATTCAGATTCAGACTTTCAGCGCAGGCCATGTACGCTCGCTTATGAAGCGGTTGTAAATTGTGTTAAAGCATTTTATCAGCAGCACCCGGCAATTTTCCAGCCCAGGTCCTTGGAAGTCTTTCCTTTCATATTGACGGCAGATAATGATTGATTACTTTATGGTTGCATATGGTGCGCGAAAAGGTGAGCACTGTCCTTATTTCTCACGTACGATAATTTAACTTTAAAGGGAAATTCATATGGTGCAATACTTACAAACTGAGACTGCAATGATATGTTATAGCTAATTCCAAGCTCCCGAATGGAATTTTTAGGAAAATACCACAATATTCTACAATTTCAAAGGTAACTGCCAGTAAGTTCTGACGTGGCTAGCTGTAGTGCGGTCGCTAAATCTTAACCGACTCGACCCAAAACTTTTAAAAAGTATTTTTTCAGTTATCAGAAGGCAACGTTTGCCAAATCAGTTTTTCACTTACGACCAGAATAACTAACCTTTTCAACTGTAACTACCTCTACCGTTTATTCCGATATTAACGTACAACTCCGACTTTTCCGCTAAAGCCAAGTCTGCCAAGATGATTCGGACAGGCTAGCAGATTTTACATGACCAAAACTACAGAACTTTGGGTTTTCAAATTCCCACCAGACTGATCAATCTAATTGGCAATAAACGACTAAGACGGCATTAACAATTTAACATGAAACATACAGCAAACTGCGGCACACAGCAAATCCCAAAACAGGGAAAGCCCCTAATCAACACACAGCAAAAACACAGAAACCCAAAACAATTCCATACAAAAAATAAAGATCGTCATAACCCAAGGAAAACGATTCCTCTCCATCGTCCGATCACACTCTCAGTGATGCCGCCGGTTACGGTCGCGGGACCGATTCCGCCGCTCGGCGCCCCGCGAATCCCTCCGATCCCGACTGGATGTGCTGGCCGCGGTGGCGCTTCCGTGCTTGCGGTCGGGTTCGCGCGTTCTCGACGAACTCGGTGGCGGGGATCGTGATCGGGAGGTGTGTTTCTCACGGTGCCGACTGCTGCTGCTGCTGGTGTCCTTCCCAGCCGAGGTGCTTCTCATCCGGCACTTCCTGGCTGCTCATCCACCCGCTGACGATGCGCTTCCGTTAGCCGCTCTCCCGCTCGTCCTGATAGGTCGTCACGCGCATCTATCAAATGATCAAAAAATTAATGGAGAACAGCTACAATTCAGAACACGGCAGAAAAAAATGCGATGTACTTGTTAATTTATTTAAGGCATAAAACAAGGGCTACAAAAATTTTACGTTATGGGAGATAGATTGTGTCGTAGCATGCCAATGCGATTAACAGACTGATAAACAAATTAAAAATGCTATTCGCCAACGTGGGTAAAAAACTGAGCAGAAACAAACTGATAAATGCAACGGCGACTTGCATGTAAACAGGAATAACAACATAATTTCCGGTCGTACCTCAAATTTCTGTCAGTTTTTCTCGGACTTCCTTGTCCAGTTCTTTCGCCGGAATGGCTTTGGACGATTCGGATTCCTTCGGAGCACCACCGGCGCCTTCCACACGATGCCATTTGCTTGTCGTGACTCGTGATGGCTGCAACGAAACTTTAAATAATGCAGCAACACAACTGATAACTGTCAACGCTTGATTTCATTGTACTTTCAAACTATCAAAGCAATTACGTTGTCTAAACGATAATTATTTCCCTGCCAAATTCATCATTCGGTAACGCATTTCCAAACAAACAAATCCATACGTAATATTTAAATAAGAAATCTAACGGAAATCATGTGATTTCAAATAATATTACGATACTAATATTTAAACTGAATGTTTCCAGTTAATAGTTTCAGACATATAATGATTATAAATAGGAATGTTACACAATAAATAGCATAACGTTATTTGTTAATTAACTATTCAATTAATTATTACTGAATAAATAAAAGGTTATTTTTCAAATTGCGCATGCCTTGGGCGTTCACTTGTTCGGGATGCGCGGTCTCACATCTCGACGGGGCCGGTTTGGTCTCGGTGGCAGCCGGTTCTTCCAAGGGCGCTCCGTCGACATCTTCATCAACTGCAGAAAATAATAAAGGGCGAGTTACTCCAATCGAATACTACCAAACGGCAGGCGATGCCGGCGGCCGCATACCGACATAAATTCTGCATGTACAGAAAATCATAACAAATTTCGATCCAGATACTTTTCTGAAAACATTTTGATCTAAGAATTCTCGCTGGACTCCGGTAAAAGCACTGATTAAATCAAAATAACGGGACGTAATAAAAATTAAAAGCGATGCCAAATTGCCAATAAACTGCAATGAGGACAACGTGACTGATCGAGGAGTGTAAAACACACACAGCCACAGGAAATATTTAGGAACTATCTGTATGCGATCTAAAAGTATTATGTATCCATTTTATCATTAGCACTGAATCAACTTACTGGGTACACCATCCACATCGGCATCCATGAAGCTGGGCAACAGATTGTGGCGGACGGGAAGGCGGTCAGATAAACGGGTACCCATCGCCCGGCTCCAAACCCAGGAAGACGTTCTGCAGTTTGATCAGGTATTTGGGGGGATACAACGCCCCGTCTTCCCATGCGCGGAAGCAGTTCATCACTCGTAGCTACGACAAAACGTCAGCGCCAGGATTTACACAATATTGACCGTAACGGAATCACTTAAGAATTCAAAACAAAAATACTGAAATTGCAAAATTGCCTGAAACAAACAATCTGCAACTGACAGCTTCCGTTAACGCAACAAGAATTTTCGACTGTTTTCAAGAATCCGCAAAAAGCGGTAAAATCCCCACAATCACGATCACAATTAAAAAGGTATTTACATCTTACGCCACAGCTACCTGTCTCTTACCCATTCCTGTAGTACCCGGCATTCTGCACGTGTCCACTGCTGCTGTTGTGGAGGATGTCGGATACCAAAATCAACTTGGCCACCTAACCCCACGCAACCGTCATGAACACATGGATCGCACAAATTAATCATTTAAAGATTTTTCCGAATTCTTTCCGTTCATAAACGTAAGATTAAAATTATTTTTGGTGTAATTTTACAGAAATCAGAATGCAGTTTTCTGGCATCTACGGAAACATGGAAACTTTTCCAATTGACAAAATATTTCGAGAACTAATAAAAATAGAAGTATACTCAACTAGAAATGACTAAAAGCGCTCATTTTTCGATGAAAATTCCAACAGAATGAGGCAGTGAACACACAGTGTACTCAGCAGAAATATTCAACTAATCGAACTGAGCGAACTATTCAAGTAGTACTAAAAACACTACCCTACGTAATAATCAAAACAAACATCGACCACACTGTCACCGGACCAAATGCACAGCGCCTGGAAGTTAATAATAAATTATAAACCAAATAGCCACTGCGTAATTCTGTTCTCATACAAAAATAATAAATTCGTTATTCATTTAAATACTAAATAGTGCACATCCTGCTTACTCATCACTCATGCCAGTGCTGACCGGCACGGGCTCCTCCATCACGGGTTTCTTGCGTCGCCCTCGTTCTCCTGACATACCGCTCCTCGCCCGCATGCCGCACCAGATGCTCCGGCATCCCAGCCGTGTACGGCTTCAACGGCGGCGGCATCCACATCGGGCCGCCCTCGAACATCCGCAACTCCTTCGTCCGCCACTGCGTCGGTGTGTCGCCAAGCAGGATGGAGAAGAGCTTCCAGCGATAGTCCACGTGCCCGTTGCAACGGTTGCCGAAGAGGAAGCGGTACATGGGGTTTCGGTACGAGCCCTTTTCCCGCAGCACCAGCATGGCCTCGAAGAGGGGTCCTTCGCGGACGATGACTGCTCGGCCGACTGCACGGCCAGCACCCGCACAGACTCTTGCGCGTCCTACTGGATCAACAACGTGTTCCCAGTCTGCCTAGAAAAATTGTAAATTACATTTTCTAGAGCAAGACAGACACATAAATTGGGCAAAAATTTTGAAAATCACACTGTCTGACAATCATATTGGCAATCGTACTGTAAACTACACATCATCATCTGGAAATCATCCTGTTAGTATTGGATTAACAGCCGTGGCACGCCGGCATTACCTGTTTCGGTTTTGCTTCGCTTGCGCATGCGAAATGATCCCGATGAGGCCTTCGTCCGGTAAAAGGCCACGTTGTGATCACCAAAAAGGATTGCGAGGCATCCGATGTGGTGCTGTCGGTGCTGCTGCAAGCGGACATTTTATAATTGCTGTCTATTTAAATCTAAAAGTATCGACGTTAATACCAGAATTTGTGTTTGCTTTCCGCACTGCCAACCGGTAGCAGTCTGATGCCGTCGTCGACTACACGTTCGGTGAATAGCCACCGTCTTTTCCTGGTCTGTATCCACTAGGATGAACGCTGGCTTACCACCCGGTCCGGATACTGCTTGCACTGAACGGGGCGCGGGTGCGGGCGATGGTGGACCGGGTGTTTCACCTTTGGAGCGATTGGTCAGAAAGGACCACACCATGCCGATGGACGGCCGGCGGGATGCCGCTTCCTACGCGTTCAGCAGCGGCGACTGGGTGAGACTGGGTGAGGTGCGCAGTGGATGGTCAGCGTGACGGGGAGCGGATCTCAGTGGCCGTGGTCACCGTGGGCAAGGGCTTGATCTCACCGGGACCTTACTCGTTTGTTAAGGCGGGTGCTTGGAAGAGTGACGAGACACAACTATCTGCAATAAAATGCAGATATTCGGTTTGAATTTGAACGCTCAGCATACTTCTAATTTCTAAATTTAAAAAATGTATGCAGTTTGAAAATAATTACTTTGTACTATTTGAAATTTTAACAGCAATTCTAACAGTTGTAATTTGATTGTGAACCGTAGATTTGAAATTTGTTTTGAAAATTTAAGAGTGCTTTTATTTTTTATAAACAAAAAATTCTGTGTCTATAGAAGCCGTAAACTTTTAATTTTAAAATAGCCAGTTTTTATACACAAGCATATTACACCCGAGAAAACGAAAATGGGACGCTGGAGAATACCTGGAATGTATTGAGAATTTCCGCGACCGAATAATTCACAGCAGTAGTACAAAATCCTGAACCGTTAACTAATAAAATCGTTCTGGTTATCGCGCGATCTTCGGCTATGGATGCTGCCTGCAAACTGATTCCGTATGCCAAACAGCTGTGTTGCACCAACTTGCACGTGTGGAATGTCGTTTCACTCTGTATCTGACAAGAAATTATAAAATCACGATTGCATTTAAATTTCACCTTTCAAAATGGGTAGAACAAACAAAAATTTTCCAATTTACCAATTTTTAAAATACGAAGAATTCCGTATGCGGGCGGACTAATTCAATTCCGAAATGCTTTCTTTACTGAATTCCAACATAGCTGCACAGCGGCGAATTACCAAATTTTTCAAACTAGACAGGAAGTTATCCACATCCGTTTTGCACAGAAAACTGTCAACCGTTCATCTGCTTTTTCGTAACAATACATTCAGTGCGCAAGACCAGTTTCCGTAAAATTCTGTAATTGTTAATTCGTCCTGATTTTCAAACACACCTGTACGGATTTTCTCGAAGGTTTCCGCCACGATAATACACTGGCAAACCGGGCGCGTGCTCTTGGATTTGAGCTGGTGGAGAACTGCCAAATTGCGGGCGGCCGTTTTTACGGATTTGACCGGACGTTGCGTCAACACCGCGGCTGATCTACGCCAGAGTAAAAACATCACCACTAGGCTTGTACAAGTGAATTCTGTTGATTAATAATTTCATTTTAGTATTCAAATTAATTCTATGAAACAGGATTTATTTTTACAGAATATTCTGTTTGTTTTAATCGAAGTAACTACCTCATTCAGTAATACGAGATCAGATTTGTCAGTTCAACCAAGTTTTCTGTCAAGTTTTAATTAAAAGGTCGAAATATCAACCCCAACCTGTTTATTACGATCGGCAAAGGAAACAATGTGCGCTTCCCCGCGAAAATCCACAAATGGCAATGAATTTACCGCACAGTTCCTGTCGACAGAGTACGCGCCAATGTGCAACCGTAACATGATGATCAAGGAGCGCGCAACCTGCGTACATGGGACTGGATAGCGGTGAGCAGGGCGCCGTCGTGGGCAGCGAGGGGGAGGCCATCGGCAGCCATCCTGGCTCCCGATCAAACGGTTACGGCCAGCTGGACAAGAGGGTGGATAGCTGCGCAGGGATCATACGGCGAAAGGTTCGCTCAATTTCCATTGGCGATTTCGCAAGATCATACCAACGCTGCGAAATCCAGCGATCGCTGGTACATGATGAAACGGTCAATTCGCAGGGCAGCGTCGTGCAAAATCTTCTTGATCGTGCAAAACCCAGCACTCTAACCATCAAATTCTGGGTAACTCGGCTCAGAAAAGCCGTACCAGTATAGCGGCTGCAGACCGTGCGAGTGGCGGGCGTGATGTGCTTGACGAGGCAGACAAGCGTAGGGTATTACAACTCTCTGACCAGCTGCATGGATCCAGCGATACAACAACATCTGTGCACGTATCGGGCGACTTGATAACGGCATCATGCATATGACAGGCACTACAGCAGCGCTGTCGATCCACGGTGTCCACTTTACAGCGAGTGGAAAACCTCCTCCAACCCTTCCAGTGGCAGCGTCACACCGCTTTCATCGACACTCTACGGCTTTTCGCGTTTCGACTCACAATCAGCGTCCGACTCTTCGGGCTTCTCAAAGCAGCTGATGGTCAAACTCATCGGACTGTCTGTGCTTTTCGAACACCTGCGTCTGTAGTGACTAGTGAGACGAAGCAAAACACGATTACGCTTTAATACGGCATGTGCTTCAAGAAGAAACATGGTTCAACAACAGCATGTATTTACCACATCTTCATCCCATCATGGCAGCACCTGGCGCCGTCGCACACAGTACATATCCTGACTGAAAATCTTGGCAAATTGCAGCTAGAGATAGGGTTCAGCGTCTCGGAGCAGCAGCGACAATGCAGACTGATTCGTAGTCTAGCACACTGCAGGTTTGCATGACGAAATGGTCCGCGGTAAGGAGTCTGTAAGTATCTTTTCCACCGAATCGCGAATCTGTCGGCTGGGAATCCGTTCGCGACGACGCTGCCCGCCTGTTATCAGATCCACCAACAGCGCTCAATTGAATCTCAGCCCTTAAACCAAGGAATCGGTATTTCCACAGGAGATTCTGTCCTGCGTGCAGCAGCACCTCGACATCGATTCCAACGCGCGCGCGCTGCTGTTGCGATCAAGGGAGCAGTCAAAGACCTTCCGTCTGTTTAGGGCATCCGAAATCTACGATCAGACGGGACGCTAGCGTACAGTACAATGTCGCTGACGCTCTGTGACTTCTTCTGGAGGCCCACAATGTGGCCATATGCTGCAGCACACCGTCCATCTCCACATCCACAACGTTCCACGCATATTATACATGATACATTGCCGTAACAAACTTACAATAGATTACTGGACATTCACGAGTTCAACAATCGACGGTTTATCAAAGTCTAAAACGGGATTCAGTGAACCACTGATGCTTTCTTCCCGCAACATCATTAAACTGGAAATAACTCTTACGGTTTTGCTGCAGCGACCGCACTGTAAGTACTCGTACAATCTCGCCGAACAAGATGCCTGACTCATTCACTACAGGCTGCCTTCATTCAGCGATAGGCAGGTGCATACAGTGCAGTTACAGGGCAACTGAACGCGCGTGTGTCCTCAAATGTTCGCTATATCCGTTCTTTGATGTAGCCGCATTGGCCAGCGCATTGCACTCAGCTACGCGTCCTCAAATGCCCGATCTCGGCACATCGACAAATTTATGGCTTTTCTACCGTTTGATCATGTTTTTGAAACAGAAAAAACTTACAATTACTAACATTTATACCGTTGAATAAAATAATCTGCCTTAAAACTTTAAATTCACCAATTAATGTGGAACATGTGAATTATCAGCGCCTACAGAACCCTGCTTACAAATTTAAAGAAAAAGTCAAGAAATAGCAATGCAAAGGCATCAGCACACCTTTAATCAAAATTAAATTAAGGAGTAATTTGAATTTTCTGTAGGAGTAAGCGTATATCGCTGGGCGCTGCAATTATTATGCATTCATCGACTGCACGGTAGTGATACGATTACGGACAAGGCTCCTTGAAGCCGCGTCCGATCACTTCGGCCGCGTTACACTTCGGCCGTATACGATCACTTCGGCCAACGCTCATTTCGGCCGAGGCTCACTTCGGCCAACACTCATTTCGGCCACCGCCAGCACATTTAGCCATCTTCAATTTTTCACGTTTTCCTAGATTTTGTGTTTTCTAGTTTTTGTTGCATTTCCAAATTTTTGTTGTGTTTCCTAGGTTTTCTTAGGTTTTTCTTAGGTATCTTAGGCTTGCTTGGGTTTTCGTAGTTTCTTAGTTTTTGTAATTATTATTAATTTTGTTTAGGTTTCCTGGGCTTCTTAGGCTTTCTTAAGGTTCTTTAATTTTCTAAATTTGTTTTAAATTGTCTCAGAATTCTTTGGGCT